GTGAGACGTCATTTATATTTGACCCATCAAAATGAATGCGGTCATTTATTTACAGAATCAAAGTTTAACATCAAACATTTACATTAATTTGGCAAATTATGAAAATAACAACATAAGCAATCAATCAGGAAAAATCATACGGCCATGATTTTTCCGTTGCGTCACCACAGACATTTATGAAAACTGTACAATTATGATCTTTTACCCACACGGATGTGGATGAGCACTTTACACAGACATTTCTAAAATATCTAGAAGAATATCTACTTGATAGAAGAGTTTAAAGATGGGAAAGAAGTTTAGAGGGAGTAAGATGGTGTTTGAGGGAGTGTTGACAGAACGGCACTCTCCGGGCTTTCTTCAGCTTTTCCTTACAGTACACTTAGGTGGTGAAATCGACTCTTTTACCTGGAGATGTCTCAGGCGAGATTCCGTTTAACGCACCCATTCAGCGTCTCCGTAGGATGCTGTTACTCGTCCGGAGTAGCGGCGAGATTCTGTCCCTCACAGCTCACCTCAGTGGAAAATGTTATAATCCCATGAAACTCGGAAGAGCTCTGTTGTCATGTCAGGATCTTCCCGGCTCCCAGAACTGGGCTTCTCCGCACAGAACTGAACAGAACTAAACTCAACCGAACCGAGTAGAACCCTCACAGAACTGATTAGACCAGGAAGTACAGACATTTTAAAGAGCTCTTTTCCCGGTTCATCTGGGAGTATTCCCATTGGCCAGAACCGACCAGACGGGGTGTGTTTTGTGACGTAAAAGGTTAGAATGCAGCAAGAATTGTTATGGAACAGATCAGAAATGTTCTCACAGACAGAGAGAGTTTTGTTTTGGCGAGTTTCAGAAACAGGTGCCAAAAACCCCCTGTTGACGTCTGAGAGGATATAAACAAGACAGTTGTTCCAACGCATGTCTGCTTCGACTCCTGACCCTGGAACGCACACTTGCATGAGAATTAAAAATCATTACACAGTTAATAAAATTGATTAGTTCACTGCAACATCTAAAATGGTTTGAACTAAGACACTTTGATTATCAACATCTGTAAAATAGTAATGATAATAAAAAAGAGAGTGTTCTTTCACTTGATTATCAAGAAAGAGAGTCTCAGGATGGGTGAACCTGTATCTCTGGATTCAAATCAATGAAATGACAGTTTCTGTCCCACAAGGTTCTTAAGGTCAAGGGTTTTGACCTCAGATTAAGTTCACTACA